TGCTGGTCCAGAGCTGGAGGAGGTCAGGCAGGGCTTCCAGCAGTTGGCCAACAGCCCTACATTCAGTTCCTGTGTGGGTGCCATTGATGGGTGCCACATTAGGATCAAGACACCACCCGGACCCAGTGGCCAGGACTATGTAAATCAGAAGCTATTTCCATCCAGGAAGGGGAAATTCCTACAAACTTTCGTCGGATTTCTGGGGTCAGTCCACCGACTAAAACACAGTGCCCTATATAAAGAGGCTCTGTACCCTCCACCAGGGAACTTAATTGTGGAGGATGGTGGCTACTAGGGCTGAACGATTAATCGATTTTAAATCTAAATCGCGATCTTAAATTATGCGATTATCAAATTGCAAAGCGATGTCAGTCATCCACACCAATCAGAAGTGCTGTGCTCCACATGTACCAGCCATTGTTAACCAATCAGAGGTGGCCCATGATAGAAGGTGATAGACAGATTGATCCAATCACCTGCCAAGTATTTTTGAAAGTGCCTGCCCTTTTCCAAATGGCTTCCAATGGAGCTTTCCTAGATGGTTTGGTGAAACAAAGCATCTGAGTCAGGTTAGTGATGCTCCATCACATGTTTCTATTACAGGGTGAATCTTAAACTGAAGCTTGACTTTAAAGCAACCCAACGGAAGTTTCATGTAAGTTTAGTTCTTTCACTCGTAGCTCTGGCTGCGGGGGTGCTAGAGACGGGAGCACGTTGATACGACCTTCCTAGCCGGAGATACGGCCGCATTTTACAATAATCTTCCGTTGGGTCGCTTAAAAACAAATATCGCAAATCGAATCGCAATCGCAATATCTGTCAGAAAAATCGCAATTAGATTATTTCCCCAAATCGTGCAGCCCTAGTGGCTACCCCTACATAGTACACCCAATAACCATCGTAACTCCGTATCGGGAGCCACTACAGGGGAGAGTACAGAGCCGCTTCAACGGCTGCCATGCCAAAGCGTGCAGCATCATAGAGCGCACTTTCGGGCTACTGAAGGGGCGATGGAGGTGCCTCCTGTCGAAGTCATTGGAGGTGAACCATAACTTTGTCCCTGCTGTGGTCACTGCCTGCTGTGTCTTACACAACCTTAGCATTACTGCAGGAGACATTACTGAACTATTGGAGGAGGAGGACGAGGAGGAGGAGGAGGAGCAGGAGGAGGAGGAGGAGCAGGAGGGGGTAGAGAGGTCTCCACCTCGTCCTGTGAGGGGGGAGCGAGGTGGACAGGGCCGGAGAGACAGACTGGCGACCAAATCTCGGCTCCTGACCACAACCCGGTCCAGCTGCACGACCACGACTATTGTTGAGAGGAATTTCATTTATGGCCAGTTTTTATGTTACCCGTTTGTTTGCTTGACAGAAGAAAAATGCATTTATTGGCCAGATGCATTATTCTTTTGTTTGTGCCATTTATATACCTTATTTCCAATTTCACCTTGCTCAAGTTTATTTAGAGCAAAGGACTTTACAGACCCATGTCTTTATTACAAATTGTATGTAAAATAGGCCATCACACAATTTCGTCAGAAACTGTTACATTTAGTGTTGAAATTGAGCCATGTTCAGTGATAGAATATTGTCATGCTTTGACTGAACGTTAAAAGAAAGAAGAGACATGTGTTAGTCATTTGACTTATGTAGGTTTTGAGCTACATGCAGTAACATGACTCCATTTTAATTGATATATTATTTATTTAATAAAACATCCCTGATATTGCATTTGGATACTTTACACACGGTTGGTTTATGCGCAGAATGATTTGAGGTGGAAATTTAAGTGGTCATTATGAGTTTCAGTAGACTATAGACAGTTATACCTTGGGTTGCACAATGACTTTAAAAACGTTGGCTTTTTAGTCATGTCACAATCATAAAATGTATATTCAGCTTTGTCTAAAATAAAGATCTCCTTGTATCTTTACAGTAAACACATTTGTTGTATTTTTTCTGTATTTCTACTTGTAAAGAAGGCTTCATGCTTGATATAACCCTTGTATGGTGTTCGGGTCTGAGGGACCCGTTTTCATTATACATCTAAAGAAAAATGACATGATAAATAATTTTTTCGCACTCACACTCAATGGCCTTGGCTCATTTTCTGTGAAGAACATATATCAGAACACATTTTCAATGACCACCCACTGTACCCCCCCCCCCCTTCACATTTACATTACATACCCAGGGCTAACAAAAGTGTGGAAATTGTAGGTCCTGTACACCTGTGTGTGTGTGTGTGTGTGAGACTTTTGTGTTTCTGCCCCTGCCATTCCCGCACAAGGTTGCAACATTGTTGATAAATTCAAGCACCGACACCTGTCTGCTCTCACATTCCGCATTATGTCTTACGGGAACCAATCTTAATTTTTTTCACATTCTATCCCAGCTGCAAATTTGGGGCGAGACACAATAAATAAAGCTTTGCCAGTTTGGGTCCTTATCACAACTGATCAAGATGGCCAAAAGATTCTCTGCTCAGAGAACCATTTGATGATGATGAGGAAGATAAATAGGTTTCAGAATGTGAGGATCATATTTCTGAGAAATCTGAGTCTGACAGTGACTTTGAAGAAGAGGATGAGATTGAGCATCAGCTAGTTACAGCCGAAACAAACAAGTAGCACTTTAATTCATTTATGTGATTTAACAAATGTAAAAGGGCAAATATTAACCATATATGCTGTTTATATTGCTTGGAATTTGGATTAAGTAAGCATCTGTTGAGTATTTTAACCTAAAATAGTTTGATTGTGTTGAATTGAAACCCAAAAAGGCAGTGGGTCCACCAGACCCACGACCACTGGCTGAATAACAGAAATATGAACACACCACACAAGGGTTAACGTCAAACTTAAATATGTATTTCAAAATTAAATATTATCCAAAACATCACATACAACAAATGAACAAATCCAAAGCAAAAGACAAAACAAACAGGCACTATTCTTTGCGAACTAATTGTTCGAAGAGCTCAAGGAATTTCGTGGAGGTTTCCTCGGAGGCTGCCTGCTGTCGGTTGAAACGGTCCTCCTCCTTGACCGCCTCCTTTCTTCCACAAAACGTTCACATGTAAGAGGTGTATCTCTCATTCAGAACAATGCAAACCTTTGATCTCTACAGAGCTCGTTAGCTCAACTATAAACACCTGTGTAATGGAACACGATGATGTCATCACTCCAACTGACAGCAGTCGATTTCAAATGATTTAATGTAATTGTTTGCCTGACTGGCCATCGTAATCGGGCTCTTTGAAGATCCAAAAATCCACGGTTTTCTTAAATTTCTGATCGGATTGGCAAAAACTTCAGAATTTGTATTGACCGCCATTCAAATGACAGCGTTGTTTTCCCCCAAAAGTGGGCGGGGCCGTAATTTTCTCCCGGAAGTGACGTAGGTGTTACTCTCATCTTGTCTGCCGTTGTATGGCTGGATTCTATTTCAAGTGCCATAGCTTTTTACTTACATTTTCCTTTTTTTTTATTTGACACTTTTTTTTACAGTTTACCTTAAAATTACAAAGACATATCTTAAAGTCTTATAATTGTAATGCACTTTTATATTACGAGTTACATATTTAATTACAGATAATAATTTTTATTTTAGGTACATCTGCATGTATTTTCTGAAAGTGCAAAAATACTGTAAATATTATATAGTAAATTTACTGTAAAAAAAAATGAAATAAATGTTATTTGTTGTTATTGTCAAAATACTTAAAATAATGTTTTGGGTTGTTAATTTATAGTTAATATCTGTAATTTTACAGGATTTTGCAAGTTATTTAAAAAAACATGATAATTACTATAAAAATATAAAGTTATTTCCTGTCAAATTAAGATCTTTTTTTACAGTGTGGTTCACATCAGCAGATGCTTGTGTATAGCAAGCTCAAAATGTTTAATGTTTTTTTTAAAGTGATTATTATAAGTCAAAATAGCTCGAACAACACTTATAATCTTGTTTCACTGATTAAAACGACGTTTGCTAACTCCTCACTCAGTTGGTGTGCGTTATAGTCTAGGGGTTCACATTTTCCAACCTACAATGTGAATCTTTGAATTACCTTTTTTAATATGGACAAGAACAAAGCAACAATTTGTGTGATATTAGTAAAACAGATTGTGTTTGTTGATTATTGTAACTAAGGTGAAGATCAGACCATATTTTAGAACACATTTATACACAAATGCACCTTATTCCAAACGTTTTCTTTCCCCATGTACATGTAAACTGTAGCGTTGCATTAATGGTAGCCTACTGAATGAAGCCCTGCAGTAGCTCATTCTGCACTGTTTCATGGCAGCATGTTAAAATGACTCCTGATTTGCCGAAGTAGGCTACGTATTACACTATATTGAAAATAATGATAGCAGATGAAAATTAGTCTATTGGTATATCACAGATCAAATGCAATCAATACATTGATTATCTCTTGGATTTAATTTGGCCCAAAAATGTATTGATTTCCTGGTTTCTTCTTACAGGACAGTATCCGACCTAAAGTATTTTTTAAATGTTAACCTTTAAATCTGTTGAATCTAGTTTAATGCAGTAGGCTATCTATGGACACATGATTTGGTAAACGAAAATAGGCGGGTTTTCTTTTTTGAATATCGATGAACATTAAACATGAAACATTTATGGTTCAAAATATCTTTGTTTCTTCTTTTAGGTTTACTTTGTTCTGTTGTCCCACATAATACACTTGAGTAAAAGCCATTCTAGTTATATTTCTTCGCTCCTGTATTTATTTGCATTGCATTTGAAATTCAAGTAGGTAAACAGGCAACCAGCTGTAACGGTTTTATTTTCTAAAGTACATTTGCATTATTCCGGACCACTTACCACGAAATCCTGTCGGATTGTTTTAGGAACGGGAGTCGTTTCTCTCATCGTGACAGGTGCCAGGACCGGATGTGATCAGGCTGGATCGTCGGTGTAACGGCACGGCATGGTATATAAAGGTCTGAGCGGACACCAAAAGGCCCTTTGAGACATCCGGTGAGAGGGGCTCAGTCTGCACGCGCGTGAAACACTTCAGGTGAGTCAGCAGTTTTCATTGGCGTGGCGTTTGTTTAAAAAAAATGCTGAACCTGGTGATTAAACTGCCAATGAACCAGTGGAGGATTGTGCAGCAAAGTGTGTGGATTTAAACTGGACTGCAGGACATCGGCTGCATGATGGCAGCATGACATCAACAACAAAAAAGACACAAAAGCATTAAAGAGGCATTAAGGAGCTTACTTAAAATAATACAAATGTAGAAATATCACTATGAATCTTTTTACCAATTTTCCAGGACTGTATTTTTAGACTATTTTAATTCATTAATAAAACGAGGAAAGGATGGCTTGCTATCACTCTATTAACAGCAGTGTATATGGTATTTACCCAAAATAATAATTATATCCAAATCACATGGAAGATTCCATATTATCAATATAATTAAATGTGACATATTTTGAAACAGGACTATCTGTTACTCTAAGCAACAACCAACTCACACATTAGACAAACAATTTAGAAAAAGGGCATGAGAAAAATAATGTTCCAATGATTCATCTTGAAAATTACAAAAAGAACAAGGGTCCACTTCGAATTTAAATCTTAAATTCAGAAACCGGGTAGATATTTATGGATGATTTTAAAATCTGTCTGTTACTTAAAGGTGGGGTAGGTAATTTTGCAGAAACCAGAGGCCTGTACTACGAAGCTGGATTTTCGCTTAGCCGGCTGACTTCAGGGAAAACTCGGGCTTTCCGGTCCTACGACGCTGGTTCTCTTTTTAGCGGGCTAGATCTCCATGGTAACTTATGCTGAGCGGCTAACCTCCTCGGGAGGAGGTTAGGTTGCAGATCAACTCAGTGAAAGCACCGCCTGCTGACCAATCAGAGCTCCGTGTGCGGAGTTTAAAGCGATCAAGTCATATTACAGGATAGAGGAAATACAGAAAAACTGCCGTTGCAGGAAAGACGGCCGGTGTTGTGCCAAATTATGCACCCCCGTCATGAAATGCCCCCCTTAAAAATATGCTGACAAAGACTAACATTTGTAAACATATATTTTGATTATTATATGACAAATATGTAAAATTAAACAATACATTTTAAAGCACGTGTATACAGACAGGACGTAACAATAACAAAACAAAAAGATTTAAAAAAAAAACTGAAAAGGAAGTGACGAATGAATTTCGACACCACTACCATCAAATACGGAGCGAAAAGTTTAACCACAAGAATCAAGACTATATGAGCTACCACTAAACAACTCACAGTCTGAAAATTACCATTAATAAAAACCCTGAACGTGTACTTTTCGTTTTAAACATCGTTTTAATGTGTAAACGTGTCATTTAGAAATGCGCGTTCCCGTGACAAGGGGGGCATTTCATGACGGGGGTGCATAATTTGGCACAACACCGGCAACAATTAGGGGTGGGCGATACCACAAAATCTGGATTCGATCCGATACCAAGTATTTCAGGGCCAGTATCGCCGATACCGATACCGATACTTTTTTAAATGAAAAGCTTCTTATGTACTTTCATGTAGGGGAGACCTGCATGACATGATTTTTGAGCTGAATGCATCATAAATAGACTACATCTGAATTCATTTTCATGATTAAAGACAGGAAAGTTTTTATAGACAAATAAACGTTTTACTTTTGCAAATTTAAAGTGCAAACATGAAAAATAACAATACAAAGTGGCCACAGTAGCGAACTGCCTTCTTGCACACATCAAAGTTCACTAAGTTTTCATTGACAGTTGTAAAATAGCTCCACACAACGCTCCTCTTTCTCTCAGCCATCATGCGCGTGTGTCGCACTGGCGAGTCGCTGGCTGCTGCTGTCCTGCCCTGCTGGCTGCTGTCAGTCAGCTTGATAATCGGCGTTCAGGCAGGGAGCGCGCTGCGCGTGCGCGAGCCTCTGGAGAGGAGGACAGCAGTGGAGAGAGAAGAAAAGAGCGTATGTAGGCCTACTTGTGTTCGTCTGCACATAGTTTTTGATGAAATTGACGAGTAGAGGAGAGGGGGAAAAAAGTATAAAAGTATCGATCCTATTGGTTCTAGTATCGATATTTTGAAACGTAACGTAATATCGGAAGTATCGATATTTTGGGATCGATCCGCCCACCCCTAGCAAAAATCAACTGACTGTGTGAAAATGAATAGAATATCACCTCCCATCTTCAGAGCAATCTGACTATTATAACATTAGTGTTAAGAAAGCTTACTTAAATATCTGCCACAACATAAGTAACCGGATCAGAGTAACATTAAGTACAGTCCGCGGCACTGTGAGTGCAGACGTCGATGTGTCCCATTTATCATTCACATCATATCACATCATAATGTATCATATATTTCCTTATCTGAGTCAGCTTCTTGAGCCGTATCTGGCCGTGCAACACTCAGTGTCACATACTGTATGCAGAAGTATTATTTTAAGCAACACATTAAGTTGACGAAACACTCGAGTCAAATGTAATTAAAGTCAGATCCACTCGTGTCTTGGACGGACAGTGATATCATAAACCTGTTAATGTACGCATTCAAACACTTTTTCTGTTACCAGCTGTATTCACCTTGCAGCTGCAGCTATGTGGCTTTTATCCTGGATAAAGTGTTTAAGTCATGGATGTTTAAAGTTTAACTTCTTCATATTTGACTAATATTAAAGTTCACTTTTCATTCAGGAAGTATGACGCTGCGCTGTCAGTACGCTTGTCCATGTTTGAGATTGGTTGAATGCTCCAAATACCACCCCTTTCATGTGAACGTGCACCTAACTAGATAGAACACGGCTGGCTTGAGCGATCCACTTGATAACCAGCGTCGTAGTACAGTTTAGCGAGAGCGCGTATGTTTTGGATTGGGCCAACCGGCTAACTCAAACATATCCAGGTTAGGTTGAACCAGCTTCGTAGTACAGGGTTGCGGTCGAATAGTCCAAAAATCAGCTCCTAAGTTCTAACCCTATCGTCTATCCCTTGACCTCGGAGTGAAACGTCACGGGGTTAAGGGATAGTGGATAGGAGAATTCAAAAGGATTTAGAAGAAGAGACTGCGGTACTTTAGAGAATCCGACTGCACTTTCACTATCCGACGTGTTTATGATGCGCCAGCAGAGGTCATAAATGTGCGTCTGCTGCTGTGGGGAAACTATGGAAACTACAGTTTTCTGTACAGCGGACTACAACATGGATGTATAATAAGAACGAGGGACTACTGTAAACTCATCTAGAGACTCTGCACCGTGCTCTGATGCTGTTGTTTTATGCTTTATGAACGGGGACAACAGAGAAACATATTCTTCATGACCAAAGTTGGAATTGAAATAAAAAAGGAAAGTGAAACTTATGCTCGTCACCCTCTCCCTCCGGTCCACATTAATACAAATGATCCCAATACGTATGATTGTATGAAAAGATCTTAAAATCAATACAAATGTATTTATTATAAACGTTAGTCTTTAACATCTATCACTGTGTATATCACCATTCAAACATCTTTTAAAAGTTGAACAAACCCCACACAGCTCAGTAAAGACTGTGAAATGTTGACTTTATTTGATCATTTCAGTAAAAACTAATGTTCATATTTCTCTTTTTGATTATAATACTGATGAACGTTCAAAACAAAGCACTTTGGCAACTTACCACATATGTTTTAAAATGCTTAATAAGCACCGTAACTTTCATGATATCATTTCTCGTTCATAATCGGTTGATTCCGTGAACGGCCGACTGTTGTGTGACGACAAATGCCGCGGCCGCAAGGCATTGTGGGGCAGCATTTTCTCCTTTCGGTGAGGGAAGTCCAGTGGTTCCTAAGCTAAAGGAGGTTATAAAGGAAGTTTGAAACCTCCTTTCCTATCATTTAGAGAATTCGAACGGCACTTATCATGGCTGCCACTGAGGGACTTCCGGGTCATTTCACTCCGTTAGGAAGGTTCCTAAACTAAATGGACTATTCGACCGCAACCCAGGCCTCAGCTCGAGTGCGCTAGAATTTGAAAATACACAGCTGGAAAAAATCTGCCACTTCCTTACAGAGCCCCTCCTCCAACACACACGAACGCGCACATGACCAATGAGGGCACGAGATAAGTTTGTGCACAGATGGAAGGCTGACAGGCAAGTAGGCCATCCAGTTATTTTAGCCGGGCCAGCTAAAATGATTGGTCGTGCTTTTTACAGTATTACGGCTTCCACAGATGACATTTTTTAATGGATTTTTTGTCAAAGCACTTAAGATATTTATTGCTATCGGGATCTTAAGAGCATTCCATGGAATATAACAAAGAGTGTATCTCGAGCCGGTTTCTCAAATTTACCACCTTTAAGGGGAAATAGGCTGTTTTCTAAAATGAGATTAAGCTTTTTCAGTTACCGATGAAACATCTAAATCAGTCACCTGTGTAAATTAGCCTCTCTTATAATTGTGGAACATTTGGGGAATTGAGGTGGTTAAACAAACACAGCGTGCTCCTGCATCGTGCTTCTGTTGGTGTGTGGCGCTGACGCTTTACGACTCCGCTGTTCAGTGGTTCTGTTAATACAGTGAATCCAACTTTATTTCCATAGCACATTTAAAAACAACAGAGTTGATCAAAGTGCTGTACATCAATCGATATATAAAAACATCATAATTGCATAAAACCATTCTTAAAGCCACAGTCTGGAAACTTTCATACCGTACATGACATAAAAACAATATAAAACATGAGTAAATAAACCCACATTTAAAAGCACAAACCGACAGGTCTTATACATGGTTTGCAAACCCACGGGAGAAGTGGGTCTTTAAACAAGATTTAAAAACAGGCGAAGTGGGAGCACGTCTGCTCTGGAGGGCTGGTAGACACGGTACCAGCAGCTTCAGGGCACAGAACCAGAGGGCCGGACATTTTGCATTTGTTTCTTTCTTTTTTTGACTAAAAGGTGTAAACCTTCCAGTTTGAAAGCTCACCATGGTGCAGCTGTCTCCTTCCCCTAACCTGGAGGTCACACCACCTGAGCACTTGGAGGATGGGGAGGACAGACGGGGGGACCTTGTGTTGGCTGATGGCCCAAAGGGGGGCTCGTACCTGGGTCTGAGCAACGAGCAGCTCAACATGGAGACCTCCACTATCTACCACGGCTATGACCTCTACATCGAAGATGGTCTCATCTGCTTAAAAAACAAAGTCCGCAACTTGGAGAAAAAGAAGGTAAGAATTGATTTCAGTTTCAGTGGACAGGTGGCAGGCACCTGGACTTTGTGATGTCTCTTGTGTGCCCACAGCTGAAACTTGAAGACTACAAGAGGAGGCTGACCTGGGGGGAGGAACTTAACCATGATCAGATGGTAAGCCCTGGCTATGAACTGGCACCCAAAGCATATTATCTTCTGTTTCTGTCTGGGGTTTGTGCATTGGCTTTTTTTCTCCAATTTATCATTTTCAAGGCGGCGGCGGAAAAATACGAGGAGGTGCTTCATAACCTGGCATTTGCACAGGAGCTGCACAAAACCCTGGATGAATTGACTCGGAATGTAAGTCTTTGGCAATCCGACTACCATTCACTTTTGATTTCTTTTTGGGCATTGGATGGGATTGAATTGCATGTTAAAGATGACCTATCATGCAAAATGCACTTTTGTACGTCTTTTATAAATGAATATGTGTCCCCGGTGTTCCAGGGAACTCACCAAGTGTCAGAAAACACAACCCTCTCTATTTTCCTCCATACCCAAATCTCTAAAAAAGGGGCTGCAACGGATCTGATAAAAACTGATCCAGATTTGAACACTTTACTGACGTCAGGACGGTGGCGCTACGGCTATTGGGCCAACTCCACCAATCAGGAGGAGACAGCCACGGCCATTGCCGTTCGAAAGCGCTGGAGACGCTGTAGTACATATGCCAGGCCTGTAAGTGGCGCTGTAGTCTGCCACAAAAGCAGCGAAGAAGACTTCCCGCCCATAGTTACCATGGTTACCCTTCTGTTTATTCTCCGCTGTGGCTTTTTTTCTCCCTCCCCGAGGCAAGCGTTTGCTCCCGCTGCTTTAATTCAATGCAATCCCTCCCCGTCGAGGCAAGCACTGTAATTCTCTCCGGTTAGTCCACCAGCAGATGACAAACACCCACCTCTCCGTCTCTTCCAAGGAACGAGGGGACCGTGCGGCAGAGTTTCAGTTTCAGTTTGTTTCGCCGGTCAAGATGTTCGTTAAAGTTTAAATCTTCCGGACAAAATTTGAAAAGTGCCGGTCAAAGGTCTTTTTTGTTATTTATTGAGCTTTAAAACAAATGAATAACGACTCTATATAATAAAACACGGAGGACGGAGATGTCTTTTTCTCCCCCTCTTCTGACAGCCCAGCAGCTGATCAGAGCACGTCTCCCCTCTCCTGCAGGGGGGCGTGGTCAGCAGAATCAGACCCGTAGACAGCAAACGGCACATAGAGCGAAATGAGGCATGGCTAAAATGCATGATCTGTTTGGTATTTTGAAAACAGAAACTTATAAATATACCTTATATAGGTATGGCCCTACAATATATCATTTAAATATAGCATGATAGGTTTCCTTTAAGGATAGTTTGAAGCCTGTGCTTTGTTTTGCTCAAAGAATGAGGACTTTTTGGAACTTAAAGTTTGCACATTAGGTACACGCAAGTCTGAGAAACAAAGTCATTATTCATCTTTTCTATAGCACACAACTATTAATCACATTTCACTTGTATATTCCAATATCCCAAATTAAACTTTTCTCCAAGTGTCTTTTTTACACAATCTGTAAAGCTGTTGTCCACAACATCCCTTTTAAAACCCCTCTGGATTGAGTAGCCTTTTCACTTGAGATCTGTACTCTAATATCCTGCAGTTAAACGTTGGGTTCACAACGTTTCATAAACAGTTTGTAGTCTGAAACTCAAAAGTCTTTTGTAACAAGTTCAATGGCAGGTTTTTAAACTGCTCCTTGAATCCTCTGCCTCTACAGTTGTTGAGAGCCCAGAGGAAGGCAGTGAAGAAGGAAAAAGTGGCAAAGGCGGAGACTGAGAGGAGGAATCTGACCTCTGTGCTGCAGTTCCAGCACCTTCTCCACATCATGCAGCTGGAGCACATCAGGACAGACCTGCTGGCTGGACACAACCAGGCCCCCCCCATCACAGCCCAGCAGCTGCAGAGCCTGAGTCAGCTGGCCACCCTGCTGGGAGTCAAGAGAGATCACACACTGAGGTTAGATTCATGGCAGCACCCTATCTCTGTTGTTTTAGGTGATGTATATTCTTTAAGGTCAGGACCCTCTCTATGGTGCACCTGTAGAAGGTCAGGACCCTCTCTATGGTGCACCTGTAGAAGGTCAGGACCCTCTCTATGGTGCACCTGTAGAAGGTCAGGATGCTCTCTATGGTGCACCTGTAGAAGGTCAGGATGCTCTCTATGGTGCACCTGTAGAAGGTCAGGATGCTCTCTATGGTGCACCTGTAGAAGGTCAGGATGCTCTCTGTGGTGCACCTGTAGAAGGTCAGGATGCTCTCTATGGTGCACCTGTAGAAGGTCAGGATGCTCTCTATGGTGCACCTGTAGAAGGTCAGGATGCTCTCTATGGTGCACCTGTAGAAGGTCAGGATGCTCTCTATGGTGCACCTGTAGAAGGTCAGGATGCTCTCTATGGTGCACCTGTAGAAGGTCAGGATCCTCTCTATGGTGCACCTGTAGAAGGTCAGGATGCTCTCTATGGTGCACCTGTAGAAGGTCAGGATGCTCTCTGTGGTGCACCTGTAGAAGGTCAGGATGCTCTCTATGGTGCACCTGTAGAAGGTCAGGATGCTCTCTATGGTGCACCTGTAGAAGGTCAGGATCCTCTCTATGGTGCACCTGTAGAAGGTCAGGATCCTCTCTATGGTGCACCTGTAGAAGGTCAGGATCCTCTCTATGGTGCACCTGTAGAAGGTCAGGATCCTCTCTATGGTGCACCTGTAGAAGGTCAGGACCCTCTCTATGGTGCACCTGTAGAAGGTCAGGATCCTCTCTATGGTGCACCTGTAGAAGGTCAGGATCCTCTCTATGGTGCACCTGTAGAAGGTCAGGACCCTCTCTATGGTGCACCTGTAGAAGGTCAGGACCCTCTCTATGGTGCACCTGTAGAAGGTCAGGATCCTCTCTATGGTGCACCTGTAGAAGGTCAGGATGCTCTCTATGGTGCACCTGTAGAAGGTCAGGATCCTCTCTATGGTGCACCTGTAGAAGGTCAGGATCCTCTCTATGGTGCACCTGTAGAAGGTCAGGATCCTCTCTATGGTGCACCTGTAGAAGGTCAGGACCCTCTCTATGGTGCACCTGTAGAAGGTCAGGACCCTCTCTATGGTGCACCTGTAGAAGGTCAGGATCCTCTCTATGGTGCACCTGTAGAAGGTCAGGATCCTCTCTATGGTGCACCTGTAGAAGGTCAGGATCCTCTCTATGGTGCACCTGTAGAAGGTCAGGATGCTCTCTATGGTGCACCTGTAGAAGGTCAGGATGCTCTCTATGGTGCACCTGTAGAAGGTCAGGATCCTCTCTATGGTGCACCTGTAGAAGGTCAGGATCCTCTCTATGGTGCACCTGTAGAAGGTCAGGATCCTCTCTATGGTGCACCTGTAGAAGGTCAGGATGCTCTCTATGGTGCACCTGTAGAAGGTCAGGACCCTCTCTATGGTGCACCTGTAGAAGGTCAGGATATTCTCTATGGTGCACCTGTAGAAGAGCCAGGTTTTCTCTTTGGGTTAGTACTAATTGTGTAAATTCGTGACTGATACATTTAATGAACCACTTCCCGTTTATTTCTAATTTGACAACTGCGCATTCTACAGCTCTTAATCTCTAAACATGAGTCAGGAGATCTATATTTCAAATTGCATTTAGGTCGGACACTGTCCCCTAGAGGATACAGAGAAATACAATATGAAATATATATATCAAAATGAAATGATTGAAATGTTTCTGTGATACATTGACTAACCGGCTATGTAACTACAATATACCAGCAGTGTTAAACGGACCTTAGTATATAGGGACAGGTCATAAAACCATTTATTATGGTTTGAAGGAATTGTATAGCATTCCATTTGCAAGAAAACCTCATACTGATAATATCTTGTTCTGAGGCTATGCATCACATACAGAATGTGTTGCTGTAACTGCACAGCTCTGATCAGTGGCATAAATGTATCGTTACTGCTTCAGTTTATACAACTTATTCCCTCAGCCAAGAATATTTACCTCATAGATTGGCTTCAAGCTACATTTTCTTTAAGAGTAGTTGATGCAAATTGTAGTACATGATAACACAATTTTACTGGTATAAAGAGTTCGATGTTGATGACCTCAGCTGTCATGTTGTAGTTTAGAGGAGCAGATGGAGCGGGCGGCTGCGGCCTACCTGGACCTGCTGGAAGGGAAAGACAAGCCGGTGGCTGGATCCACATGTGAGTAACAGAGCCAACAATGACCTAGATCCACAAGTCTCTAATAAGATATGAAGAATGTTGTTTTTTTTAAACATGTAAAGCCTGAGATTTTTGAGTCAAGATATAACATTTCCTGAATTAATAATTCATTCTATTTAGAGGTGCCTTTCAAAGCACCCAAGGAAACCTTACAATTCATAAAATATGATTATTACCAGTAGTTTGATACTAACTCAATCTAAAGAATGTAACCCATTTTAATGTATGATCTTTGTCCAAAAATGGTCTCGTATTTTCTTTTGACAAATCCTCATCAAAATGCTGTGATGAGCACCTTCAACTCTATAGAATGTACCGGACCTAACTTGGTTGGGTTCTAATCTATTATAAAAAGTGTATCATACCAACCAATCTCTTTGGATTGTCCACACCATTTTGGCATAATCTTGGGCCCTCAGTGATTGCATTATTTGAACCAACCTTCAGGGGAAGGGAGAGCATTTTGAGACCAAATGGATCTGTTGAAGAAACCTGACAATATTTTCTATGAGAGATATAGATCCCAGCTGAGGGAATTAGTGTTTGTACATACAGCTCCTGGAAAAATAAAATAAACCTACAAAATGATCAGCTTATCTAAAATACTACTGACATTTCTCCAAAATTCCAAATGGGCATGTTTGTTTTAGATGATTTATTTGCGGAAAAGGAAAAACTGGTAAAAAGAATAAAATATGCAGTGTTTTATCATTTCTTTAGATAAGCTGTTCAAAGAAGAACTCGCTGAGCTGATGAACTGCAAGTACTTCACTTGTCTTCCATCTCCACCCAATAACCCTGCAGAGGAGTTTCTGAGAGCCAACAGCCCTATAGGTGAAATTGAACTTAAAAATCATGCTAGTATAAAGATGAATTGACTACTGAAACTACTGTGTGCCTTGTTTGAATATGGTGAATTTTCTATTTATTTGTCCCGTCAGCCACATCAAACTCAAAGGAAGTTTCCAAGGAGGTAAGCCAGATATCCAGTTTGTATGTTTAAAGCTGCATTTCAGTTTGACTGTAACCCAGGAATCACTGAGACTCCATTTGGATGGCAGTTTTTCAACTGACTGTACCTTACTTGTATGAAAACTCCAACTCAGAACTGGAAGGGGGGCTTCCAAATCAGGGAGCGGGAGCCTCCTGACTGCTGGGATCTGGACTCATCTGTTGGACCCTGTTCCCCCCCAGCTGCAGTTCACAGACCATGGAGAGGAGCTGCCACCTTCATCCCCAAAGGCCCCGTCACCACCAAGAAACAATCTGCTGGCTGCAAACAGGTGAGGCAGCATGAGACCTTCTGTGTTCTGGATCATAACACTGGAATCAGAGTCTGACTTGAGTATTAAAGGTCACCTATTATGCAAAATGCACTTTTTAATGTATCTGAGCTGTATCTGAGCAGACAGCCTGCTCGTCACAGAGGAGAGCATGCGTCTACCCGATTTGCACAGAGTTGGTCCTCCATGTTGAACAGCAACCCAAGTAGGACATTTGACACAGCGGCGTTTCGCAAAGAAGAAAAATAAACCCAACCACATTAATCTGAAGGAGAGAGAGAGATGAGTTATTACAACGTAATAACCCGATTATTTGAGAATAAATCCTTTTAGTGTGTTAAATCAATTTCTCACTTATTCTAAGACTGTACTTGACAGCTATCATACTGAAGAAAAAAGAAACTGTACATTTATCCAATAATTTATGGCATTCATTATTATCTAATTCTTAACTGTAAATATCTTTCATTTTATGTAAAATTAGAAATGTATTAGTCTGGCAGACTGTTTCTGTTGTGATTCCTGGAAAAGGGAAATTAATTACATAAAGGATTTTTCATTAAAAAGGTTGATTCATGAACAAAACTCTGTTATTAGATCAGTATTGTTTACACTCCGTCTCCATCTAATTCTCTCTCATTCAAACGTCAATCACTCACTCTGGCGCTCCTGCTGCTCCCTAGTTGTTGGCGTGTCAACAGCTGCTTTGGGCGCAGTTTGGTGCGCCCCGAGCTGCTCCTATCACTTGTATTGAAGAGGTGCGGACTGCGCATGCACCACTTATAACGAGAGTCAATGGGCAAAGATGTATGCGCCCCAAGCAGGAAACACGTGACTTATCAGTAACTTTAGACATCGTAAAACAATTTTTATCGATATTTTATTGTAGATTATACATTTAACTGACACCAACTATATAATATTTGCCTTGTTCATTAAAAAATGTTAAAACAAACAAATGTAAATGCAAATTCAAATGTTTTTTAATCACAATCTGGAATGTGGGAAGAGGTGGGGCGGCGCCCTAGTTCCCCTATGGGCCGGCCGCCACTGGGTATGAGGCATGCTACAATGCATGATCTGTTTGGCATTTTGGGCAAAACACTTCATAGACATGTTTTTTATATATCTGAGACTTATAATGTATGCCTAAAAATAGTATAATAGGAGACCTTTTTAAAATGCAACACACATTATTTTTGATAGTGAATGCTACAACGTGTCTTACATCCACGTCTATTGGTAAAGTGTCTGTTTGATATTTTTAAGCTAAACGAAAATGGATATTTTGCAAGTTGGTATGGTAGCAGTTGATCATTTGTTTGTATTCAGGAACCCACAACCCTAGCAAATAAACAAAGATGGTTCAAATGTGGTGTTCCACAGCAGCTGATGCAGGGGTTGCAGGACCATATGTCAGTGTGTGTGTGTGTGTGTGTCCCACAGAGAAAAGGGAGAGCCAAAAGAGTGCAACCCGCCAACTCGGTGAGTACGAGTGGTTAGTTTGCAAATTGTGTATGTTGGGTAGAGATGTCTGTTTTTGTTCAACTTTACTCTTCCCAACAGGCAGTTTACATGGATATGCCTGTGGAGGTTTTCAACTCTACATATGCCTTACCCAAAGACCCTTTCCTCAGAAAACAGCACCTAGAGGACCTTGTGACAAAGATCCATGGCTCCTTCAGTTTTATGCAGGTGGTGTTCTATTTCATCCTTACTGACCGCCAGAGGCGGTGCTTTAGCACTGGATATCTTCTGTCTCGCGCATGCGCAGGTCGAATATTTATATCAACAAAGTCACGTGTGACCTCGTATGACCCCGGAAGGCATAAGTTCCGGTGCTGTAAACAAGTTCAGTCCTTTTTCATCTTCTCGCTGCACAGGTTACTACTTTATGAGTAGAAGCCAAGCTAGATTATTGAAAATTAAGATTCTAGCTCATCGCTACCTGTAGCCTTGTGATCGTCTCGATCGGAGCTGCGGGCTAGAAAAACGCTCGCCCTCCAAAGGCTGCGACGAGCTGTCCGCCCTCCCAAGGGAGGGGACCGCGGTGTTCACCGCTCGGACCCCAGGAGCTCCGGACCGGTAAAGAGCAGACGCTCCTGCACGTCAGCCGGTGAGATCGCTACCATTTATTGCTGATTGTGCTATATATTCTCAAACTAATGAGATAATTGTGTACAAATTAGCCGAGGGCTCTCGCTAATTTGTTACTGCGCTAGTGAAGAGAGCGTCTCCGCCCTCCTCTCACTGCATACATTTGGTTCCTTACCTGTTCTATCGTCCAGTTAGCGGAGTGCTCTCGCTCAAGCTAACTGTTAAGGCGCTAGTGAAGAGAGTGTCTTCGCCCCCCTCTCACGGTGCACAATTGGTTCTTGTTCCATCCTCCAGTTAGCTGAGTGCTCTTGCTCAAAGCTAACTTGCTACAGCGCTAGTGAAGACAGTGTTTCCGCTCCCCTCTCCCTGCACACAGTTGGTTTAATACCCGTTCCATCTCCAGTTAGCAGAGTGCTCTCGCTCAGGCTAACTCGCTACGGTGCTAGTGGAGAGAGTATTCCCGCTCTCCTCTCACAGCATATATACCACTAACTGACTTCATTTTTCTCACCCCAGTTAGCAGAGTGCTCACGCTCACGCTAACTACTATTGTGCTCACTCCCCTCCACTGCGGAGTTTGTTTCCTGGCCCAGTGTGCTCTCCCCCGGACTGCCTTAAGCTTGGCGCTATGTTTAACGGCTGTAACACCTGTATGGCTTCTCTTCAACCAGAGGATGGCCATGACCTTTGCCCCTCTTGTCTTGGCCTCGAGCATCTGAGGGAGGGCCTTTCGGAGGACCCGTGCATGAATTGCACCATCATGCCTCGTGCGGAAAGAGCTGCTAGACTAGCCGAGGTTGAACTACTGACTGAGGGTGGCCTTCCCCCTGCACAGACGACTACAGCCCAACCTACCCGTCCTAGGTGTCGGGCAGCAGAGGCTGCGGGTGCCCCGCCCAAGAAGAGGACTAAGCCTGATAGGCTGTCCTCTAGGGTGAACCTACTCACTACTGAGCTAGCCCAGATGAAGTCACTCCTCTTGGCTCTCCATTCTGGTGCCCGTACAGAGCACACCGCTGCACCCAGTCCACCCATGGCTGAGCTGATTCCAGATGACGATGTGTTCTCGATGGCAGCTTCAGCCACTCAATTTAATGAGTATGACGGAGAGGGCCCGTCCCATGCTTCTGGGCCTGGCTCCTGTACCTCAGCTCATGCATCCTCGGAGGGGGCAGATGACGGCTCCATGGGTACCGTCATTCGCATGGCACTGGCTCGCCAGCAGCTGGATGTACAGCAGCCCGAAACAGCGCCTGCCAGTGCGTTCTTCAGGCGCACTTTGGCACCCGCCACCTTTGCAGTTCCTCCCTCTTGTGAGTATCTGAGGGAGTTGCATGCATGCTGGAGGGACACTAAGACTCTTTCCCGTCTTACGTCCGATGGCCGAGCCCTGGCAGCCATGCAGGATGCGGCAAAAGTCGGCCTTGACCACATGCCGGCTGTTGAGCCTACTATTGCTTCCCTCATAGTTTCCCCTGAGGTCGGAGGCCAGGTGCCCTCGACCCCAATGTCGGGTCACTGATGACCTGCTCACTAAGGCTTACGATGCAGCGGCGTGCATGGGCCGTATAGGCAATTCCCTCTCACCTCATGCTCGCCCTCTCAGCTTCCCTGCAGCAGGAGGCTCTTAGCGCTTCCTCTACCAGCCTCAGTGACGCCTCATTACAGGCGTTTGCTCTGATGTCTAGAGAGCTTGGGTGCCTGATGTCCACTCTCGTCCAGACTCGTCGCCAGGTTTGGCTGGCACAGTCACCCTTATCAGAGGCATGTAGGAGGACTCTCCGTGCTTTCCCAGTGGAGCCGGGGGAGCTGTTCGGTTCAGCTGCCGTACAGGTGCTCGAACGGACTGTCCAAGCTAGTCAGACCAGGCAACAGTTATCAGCTCTTCGCAGAGACATGCCCTCCCCCCGGTAGGCCTAGAGGCTCCGCGTCTGCCTCCCGAGGCCGCTCCCATCCACCGGCTCACCCCGGTGCCCGCCATGGGCCTCAGCATCCCACGAGGGGGCCGGCCCGCTACGGTCCTGTTAACTCACCCCCAAGGCAGCCTCGGTATCCGGTGCCTAACCGTCGCCTCCAGAGGCCGGGGGGCAAGGTACTGAGGGTCTGGGGCCGGCTGTCGGTTATTTCTCCCAGCAGCAGCTCAACTACTGGGTAGCTCAAGCTTCAGACCCCTGGGTGGTTTCCACCTTAACCCAGGGGTACAAGCTTCAGTTCCGACGCCGGCCCCCAGCCTTCAGCTGGGTCAAAATAACCACCATAAGCGACCCGGCAAAAGAAATCGCCCTAAACCAGGAGCTGTCAGTCCTCCTTGCCAAGGGTGCAATCGAGCCTGTGGACCCCATCTCAAAGCCCGGGGGTTTCTACTCGACCTACTTCCTGGTAAGGAAGAAAGGCGGTGGACTTCGCCCAATCCTCGATCTGAGGGGACTCAACAAGTTCCTAAAGATCTTACCTTTCCATATGCTGAGCACAGCGGACGTTCTTCATACCGTTGCCAGGGGGGAATGGTTCACGTCCGTCGATTTGAAGGACGCTTATTTTCATGTGCCTATTGTGCCTCATCACAGGCAGTTTCTTCGCTTTGCCTTCAGAGGCCGTCATTTCCAGTTCAGGGTGCTCCCATTCGGACTGTCCCTCTCCCCAAGGGTGTTCACCAGGTGTGTCGCGGCAGCCCTCTCGCCCCTGCAGTCTCAAGGTATGAAGATTCTGCCATACTTAGACTGGCTAATCTGTGCACCATCCCGGTTGCAGTCGACCCAGGACACGGCTCTCCTTCTCTCTCATGTCGCCCGGCTAGGCCTCAGGGTGAACATGGAGAAGAGTTGTCTGAACCCCTCTCAGAGCCTAACCTTCATTGGGGTGGCTCTGGACACAGTCACTATGCGGGCCTGTCCATCTGCTCAGCGCCTGGACGACATCCTCCAGCTTCTTCCCCTCTTCAAAAGGGGCAGGTCTCTGGCATATATCCTGTTTCTCCGCCTCTTGGGCAAGCTGACTGCTGCCTCAACTGTCGTTCCCTTGGGCTTGTTGTCACTGCGCCCCCTGCAGAGATGGCTGAACGGCCTCCACTTAGACCCCAAGTTCCACAGGCACAGAAAAATCAGGGTGTCACAACAGTGCCTCTCCACTCTATCCCCATGGAGGGAGAGGTCGTATATGTCGAGGGGCGTGGCCATGGGCTCCGTCCCTTTCCGCAGAGAGACCGTTACGACGGATGCCAGCCTCTCGGGATGGGGTGCGGTGTGGGAAAACAGGACAGCCCAACCTTCATTGGTTGGGCTGTTGGTTGTTCTTCGCCCCCCGAACATCCCAAGGGCCCCTACATGGGATCTGCCCTTGGTGCTGGACCCTTGTTACAGGCTTCTCTATGCCTATCCACCCCTTCCTCTGATCCTACCAACACTCCTCAGAGTGCTTCATCAGGGCCACAGGCTTCTTCTGGTGGCCCCCTTCTGGCCAGCCCGGACTTGGTTCTCCCTGCTGCACAGACTCTGTTGCGGGACACCTTGGCGTCTCCCCAACAGGAAGGACCTCTTGTCTCAGCTGGAGGGTCGGATGTGGCACCCCGACCCCTGCCGCCTCCAGCTGTGGGTCTGGCCACTGGAGGGCCCGACCCACTGCTGAGCGACTGCATAGAGCCTGTCAGGAGGACTATTCTCAATGCTAGGGCACCATCTACTCGTAAGCAGTACGAAAACACCCCTGGCCACTGGAGGGCCCGACCCACTGCTGAGCGACTGCATAGAGCCTGTCAGGAGGACTATTCTCAATGCTAGGGCACCATCTACTCGTAAGCAGTACGAAAACAGGTGGAAACTGTTCTCTGACTGGTGCCAAGGGCGAAATGAGGACCCAGTACATTGCTCGGTGCCTACTACCCTTGAGTTCCTGCAGTCCCTCCTGGACGACGGCCGGTGTCCCGCTACCGTCAGGGTGTATGTGGCTACCGTCAGGGTGTATGTGGTTGCTATATCAGCTCAACACGCAAGGGTTGACAACAGCACAGTGGGGAGCCATAGGCTGGTATCCCTCTTTTTAAGGGGAGCACTGAGGCTTCGCCCCCCGAACATCCCAAGGGCCCCTACATGGGATCTGCCCTTGGTGCTGGACCCTTGTTACAGGCAGAACTGTGGTGGCTCTCAGCCAAGACTGCTTTCCTTCTTGCCATCACCTCAGCAAAGCGTGTAAGCGAGCTTCAGGCCTTGTCCGTGAACAGCTCGTGTCTGAGGTGGAACTCAGATGGCTCAGGTGTCACCTTATGGCCGAACACAGCGTTCCTCCCTAAGGTGCTGGCACGCTCTCATTTTAATCGGCCTATCCAGCTGGCACGGTTTGACCCCCCATCAGGAGATGGGGGGGGGGGGAAGAGAGGTCAAGACTCCTATGCCCGGTGCGGGCCCTTAGAGCTTATGTCCAGACTACCGCAGGCATGCGTCAGTCTGAACAGCTCTTTCTGTGTTACGGTGGTCCTAGAAGGGGCTGTGCGCTCTGAAAACAGCGCTTGTCCCACTGGATCGTGGACGTCATTGCCCAGGCATACAAGGCGAATGACCGTCCCTTGCCACCCAGAGTAAAGTGCCACTCTACCAGGAGTGTCTCCACGTCATGGGCGACCTTGAGAGGTGTGCCCCTGGAGGACATATGTGCTGCGGCCACATGGGCATCTCCGAGCACATTCGCCAGATATTACAGGGTGAATGTTGCCGCCCCTCACCCGCTGGGTGTGGTCCTCCTGCAGAGTCCGCCTAGGCCATCCTTATAGGGTGAGTATTCAGACTTCCTCGTGACTCTGATATAGGTCATCCAGTGCTAAAGCACCGCCCCTGGCGGTCAGTAAGGATGAAATAGAACGATAGTTACGTATGTAACTACGGTTCTATGAATACTGGATGACCGCCAGAGTTCTTGGTCACTCGGAATTTCGTGTTTCTGCGAGAAGATTCCATAGGACTGAACTCGTTGACAGCACCGGAACTTATGCCTTCCGGGGTCATACGAGGTCAAACGTGACTTTGTTGATATAAATAATCGACCTGCGCATGCGCGAGACAGAAGATATCCAGTGCTAAAGCACCGCCTCTGGCGGTCATCCAGTATTCATAGAACCGTAGTTAAATACGTAACTATCGTTTGGCTGTTTGCAAACCAATGAAAATATAATGAACGACTCTTTCCTGTTCAGGACTCTCTTCTAGAGGGTGAGATCTCTCCAATCAATGGCCACCAAAAACTGAAGCGGAGGTCATCTAAATCTCCATCCCCTTTAGGTAACTTGGACCAAATAGGGAAAATGACACCCCCTTCCCCCCTCACTCCCGTTGCTCCCCGGGCGCTGTACAATAGCTGCCCACTGCTCCTAGTACTAGACTCCTGGTACTAGGATGGGTTAAATGCAGAGAACAAATGTCACTGTGCTGTGTGCTCTGCATGTGTGACCATTAAAGAGGGTTTCATCCCTCTCTATTCGATTCTATAACCAAACTGATAACAATCGTTGGCATTTCTTTCAAATCATACCATTAACATGACCTTTTTGGAATATGTTTTTATGCTTGGTCCTTATTTTTTCACCACATGTTAGTATTGCAAATGTATTATCTCTGCAATGATAATGAATTTTTAACTGCATCATTTTAAGAGTTGGAGATTTTCACCGATTCATTTCTTAATTTGGTTTTCCTCAACTAGCCGCTAGCGCCCGTCCATCCAGAGCCTGATCATACTGATTACAGAACAGTTACAGTACGCCAGCTGCACTGAGGCACACGGGAAGAGGCCCAAAAGTCATAAAAATCATCGGCTGCCCTCTCCCCTCGCTGATGGATATTTACAACTCACGCTGCCTCAGTAAAGCCACCAACATTGTAAAGGACAGTTCACACCACGGTTTTCACCTGTTTGAGCTGCTGCCCTCCGGGAGGCGCTACAGATCTTTAAAGCAAAGACAGTTTTCAGTTTCCTGCCCTTTATTTTGTTATTTTATGTATGAATGCTGCGTGTCTTTGTTTATGAATGTTTTGATGGCACCTTAAAAGGAGTAGCTTTCCTATTCTCGTTGTACTTGTATAATGACAATAAATGCTTCTATTCTAACCAGGACATGCTGACTTAGGAAGTCCAGTTGATGTCCTGCCAAAAGCAATGCATGTAAGCGGACAGTTTTCTGTCTTTGACTCAGTTCTGATGAAGTGTAAAATGACTTGGCCCATTAATCACTTAATTTACCCCCCCACTTAGTCCACCCCACTGCCTACCAGGCTTATTGAGCGCAGAGCCAGTCAGACTAATGGGGATCAGTGCTTGGAGACCTGTGCACTAAAAGTTCCTTCAATGGACTTGCCTCATGTAAGAAGCATCATATTGCCTTTTTAAGATGCAACATAATCCTATCCTGTCTCTCAGTGGTTGAATCCTTCTCTTCTCTGCAGGAGCCGCTGCAGCTGGCTGAAAGAAAGGGGTTTCCTTCACCTCCGCTGTACCGCAGGGAGGCCACCATTCCTGTCAGCCTGGAGAAGAGCTGCGCTTATGTAAATGGGACAAAGTATTGGGCTGATGTGAAGTGTTTTCTATGCTTTTAATGCATGCTGGTATTCCACAGACTCCAGAGTCAAAGAAGCATCCCCCCTGCAGTAGGATTGAGTCGTGCACTGTCAACCTTCCTCAGGGAAGGACTTTCTCCACACCTCCCTCCAGACGAACTCTGACTTCTTCACAGTTTCAGAATATCCAGCAGGTTAGTTTCACCAAAGCATACATCATTTTTCTTTTGGGCAAAATCAATGTAGGGCCGAAAGTCTGCAGGTATCTGAAATATATTGGAAGTCATAAAATGTCAAGTTGTATCCTTATCTCTTATATTTGCGCTGTGTAGAATCTCAATATATATAAATCATGTTGGTGGAGCTGGCAGACTGGTTGTAGTTATGATGCAGTAGGGATTGCCACAACATGCAAGGAGACAGTCATGGGACACCCAAAGGCCTCTCTGCAGTAGCCCCGGTCTCTGGCCTAACATGACTTTTTTTTCAGAAAAGGTGCTGTGGTTATGATTTACCAGAATAATAATGTTTCCTCAAAGATGGATGACTCAATTTCTGTCAGTCTCTAAAACTATATGCATTGACATGTCTATTCAGATATTGGCTGTCTAAGTTACCTCAGACATTGTCCACATGTGTGTCTTGTCGGTAAAAACTATTTCTGCCAGTTACAGTTGCAGCATGACCGTTGATTTGCCTGTATGATCAAGAACGTTTAGTCATAATTGAATTGATTGATTGAATCTGATTCTTTGTTGCCCATGTTATTCTCACTATAGGTCTTCAAGGTGAATGCTAACTTTTCTCAGAATGGAGGATTGAAATACAAACCAGATTCTTCAGTTTTTGCTGAACCTAGGTACAGCACTGCCAGTACCCAAACACCAGCTGAGTTTTATCCCCCGGAAGACGAACTACAACCAGGTATGTTGATCAAATCAAATGTTTGCTTCTAAACTCTCGACAACTATGTGGTAATTCTGAACCTCTGCTGATTTCTTCTCTTCAGGAGGATCCTACATTCCCCAGACTCATCTAAGGGACTGTGGCCCCACCTTCTATGCTGCGAGAGTAAGTGAATTACCGTTTTTTAATGAAATGGGCAAACTTGGCTGTCTGACAAACAAATGCTTATCCAAAAGCTGCCAACTTAACAGCTGTGAGAATTAACAGCCATGTTCCAAGGCTTTAGGGAAAGGCAGTCAAAGGGCCAAATTGACTACTGAATACTATTATTAAGCAATCTTTGGAGCTAATGTTGCTAATTACTTGCATTGGAAATGAGTTGGCTCAATGGGCTGGGTTTGTTGGTTGAATCATTTTGAAAATATATCTTCTTGCTGTCTTAAGTGTTGCCTACCCAAGTCTTAAGCACTTTGTCCAATTATTGTGAAAAATTGTCCCTACATTTCGCCTTTTGGAATTGTGAATTGTTTGCTTAGTCGTCCATTGTTTTTGTTTAATCTTTAAATAAATGTGTAGAGTGGTTCCTTTCATCTTTACCAGATGCACGCAACACTGTTTTAACTCTATTCTATACACTTCTAAAATTCCTCTGGTATTTTCCAGGACGCTGGATACCATCATGGCCATAGATGTGGAGGAGGGAGGCATAACTTCAGTGGTAAGATCACAAGTTCTAACGAGTATAATTTTCCTCTTGGAAACTACTTTGTATCAACACTTGCTAAAGCGATTCCCTAAAGAACGGTAATTAGAAGGAATAAATGTTTTAAATGAATTGATACGCTTACTTTAATAAGCACTGCTTATGGGGCATATCAGATCAGAGAAGTGCATCAATTCTGAATTTGGAAAGCTTTTGGAGCCAGAAGACAAAATGGGATATGCTTGACACATTTTATCAGCCAGTGTTATTCGTGTGTAAAATGAGTCATGAAAGTCCTCTTTGAAAGAGTAACTGAATTTGGAGAGGTGGAATGTTTTTTAATTAGAGATAAGTGAGTTTGACTTTGTCTAAGGATTGGGTGAGGTTGTTTTGGTCAGCAGCAGAATAAGATTGCTGTGTTCACATGTGATGTAACTAAGATTCAACTAGACTAAATGAGAGTTTGAAAACCCCGGACTGTGTTATCGCTGAATATTGTTTTTGTCTGGACTCTGGAGCAGCCTGGAGCGACTCTTCCCAGGTCAGCACCCCAGACCGGGAGGGAGCATTTACAATTGTGGACTCGGGTCAGGGGGATTCTCTGTCGGTGTCCACCATGGAGGTCCCTCTCTCTCCCCACGACGACCATCAAGCCCTGCTTCCAATGCAACTCTACCCACTCTCCCAGCCATTGAGAGTGGCCTTCAATGCCTCTCGCACTGCCAATTTTGCCCCAGGCAATCTGGACCAGCCCATTGCCTTCGACCAACTGCACAGCAACCTTGGAGAGATGTTTGACACCAGCATTGGCCGCTTCACCTCCCCTGTCAATGGAACCTATGTCTTCCTCTTCCACATCCTGAAGCTTGCCATCAACGTGCCTCTCTATATTAACCTCATGCGCAACGAAGAGGTGATGGTTTCTGCATACGCCAACGATGGGGCCCCAGATCACGAGACAGCCAGCAACCACGCTATCCTGCCCCTCTTTCAGGGAGACCAAGTGTGGCTCCGTTTGCATCGCGGGGCAATCTATGGAAGCACCTGGAAGTACAGCACCTTCTCTGGCTTCCTGCTCTACCAGGATGCAACCTGAACATCTATATTCTTCCAGTGTGAGGACCAGTTCCCTTTAATCATCAATACAAAAACGGACATTTCAAGATATTGGTCAGGCTGCATGCCAATGGCCTTTTTTCAGCATAAAGCCCATTAATCGTATGATCAGTGCCCACAGCCATTATCTATATACAAAATTGGAATTGTGACTTGACATAAACCAAATATAGTTGATGTCCATGAATGCAGTTTACTAGTTTCACAGTCGCAAGGGTGACTACCACAATGATAAACTGATAAATCTGTGTTCTATCACCTATACATTCACCAGGTCATTGATTTCAATCTTATGAGTTTGTGCCTTTTTGTTTTCTGGAAGGCTTTGGACAACTTACTAGATGGGTTTATGTATAATGAACTTAATCATTGTCTGATTTATCTAATTAATTTCTAGTTGACTACTATCTTCTCGTTGCTAGGCTCTTATGTGTTCAGTGTAACTGAATGTGACGCTAAGGAAGAAAATATGATGTTGGTGGTGGGAATGGTGCTAAACCAATCGGGCTTTGGCCTAAAGAGACGTTGTGGTCCTATTGATGTGTCTAAATAAAGAGGAGCAGTGCATTTTTGGTGGTTAATTTTTTATTTTTTTATAATTTACCAATGAATGTCTGCAAGTAACATACATTTAATATAAAGGTATTCAGCACAGTACATCTCATTTTATAACTTACTTCAGGCACTGTGGGCCTTTTACCTGTTCCTCTGACGTAGTTAAAGAGTTATCAAACAAAAATTCTGAAAACTGCTAAAATGTTCATATTGCAATCGAAACCAAATCGTCAAACCCTTGCTCAGTGAGTCACGCGCCTGGATTCCACCAGGTCCGCCTGCGCCACGTTCCGTCTGCGCCGTGCGGTGCGCAGTGATCGTGGCCACTCTAGTCAACGTGTCCATCGTGGCTCAGAAGCGTCTCGGCATTACATTGCATTTAGCTGACGCTTTTATCCAAAGCGACTTACAATAAGTGCATTCGACCAAGAAGATACAAACTAGAAGAAAACAGAATCATATAAGTACATCAGGTTTCATAGAGCCAAAACATTTCAAGTGCTACTCAACTAGCTTTAGATAAGCCAGTCCTTTGTTAGTATATAAGTGCTTAGTTAGTAATTCTATCGCTCCAAGTGGAGTCGAAAGAGATGAGTCTTTAGTCTGCGCCGGAAGATGTGTAAGCTTTCTGCTGTCCTGATATCAATGGGGAGCTCATTCCACCATTTTGGAGCCAGGATAGCAAACGACGTGTTTTTGCTGATGGGAACTTGGGTCCCCCTCGCAGTGCGGGTGCAGCGAGCCGTTTGGCTGATGCAGAGCGGAGTGCACGTGCTGGGGTGTACAGTTTAACCATGTCCTGGATGTAGGAAGGGCCAGATCCATTCGCAGCATGGTACGCAAGTACCATTGTCTTGAAGTGGATTCTAGCAGTTACTGGAAGCCAGTGAAGTGAGCGGAGGAGCGGTGTGGTGTGGGAGAATTTAGGAAGGTTGAATTTTCTAATGAACAGTGAGGGTGCAGCGAGCTGTTTGGCTGATGTGGAGTGCACGTGCTGGGGTGTACAGTTTAACCATGTCCTGGATGTAGGAAGGGCCAGATCCATTCACAGCATGGTACGCAAGTACCAGTGGATTCTAGCCACTGGTACTTGCGTACCATGCTGTGAATGGATCAAACTGGGCTGGGCTCCACTAAAGATATGCGGCTGGTCTAGTTTTGACGGAGACGCGAGGCGTTGCATAGCTTCGGGCAGGAAGTGGAAGGGCAAAAGCATCTGGTCAATTCCCAAAATAAACTAATTTTGCAGACCCCCCCATCCCTTCGTAGTCTTTCAAGTACTGTAGGAGGAAAAATGCCAGCGTTCTCCTCCGGTTTACAGGCACTGTGTAAATTATATAAAAATCTACATATCACTATGATAAACATTGTCCCACTGTACTCTGTAAATATAAAGGTACTTTATTATAAAAAGCCTTGGATAACAAAGGGCTTACAAAATGCTTGCAAAAATAAACTTTATAAAGACTTCATAACATTTAGGACAAAGGCAGTTGAAAAGCAATACAAGGCATATAAAAATAAGTTGACAGTTATGAGACGAGCAAAAAGAGAATATTATATGTTAAAAGAAAAATGATATCAAAGGCACATGGAAAATCTTAAATAATGTTATTGGAAATACATCTGTATCCACTGGCCTGCTCAGTCATTTCATTAATGACAAAAATAAGGTTGTAAAAAACATGAATAAAGTGGTACATGAATTTAACTATTTTTTTCTAAATGTCGGACCTAATCTTGCAAAGACTATTTCAAAACAAAACGATGGGCAAAAAGAAGGTGGCGGAATCGGGGGAAGTAAAGTGTTGCAGTCAATGTGTCTGGGAGAGATAAACTAAATAATTAGATCCATTGTAGACAAATGTAAAAATAAGACTTCGACTGATAGTGATGGGATCGACATGACCATAGTGAAAACGACTATTGACTGTATAATTAAACCGCTAAGCTACATCTTTAATCTTTCACTTCAGACAGGTATTTTTCCAGATAGCATGAAAATAGCTAAAGTTATCCCACTTTTTAAAACAGGGGACAAAAGCCAATGTACTAACTACAGACCAGTGTCCTTGCTTTCACAATTTTCAATGGTCCTTGAGAAATAGTTTGTCCAAAAATGTGATAATTTTATTGAAAAAAATGAGTTGAGTGAGAGTCAGTATGGATTTAGGGAAAACCGATCTTTAGCTTTAATGAAAATAACAGAAGAAATTACAACAGCTATAAAAAAAAAAAGAAATACACAATAGGTGTATTTATTGACTTCAAAAAGGCATTTGACACCATAGACCATTACCTATTAATTTTGAAATTACATAGATATGGTGTGAGAGGAGTAGTTCTAGATTGGTTAAAAAGTTATTTAGATAACAGACAACAATATGTACAATTTGCTGGTAGTACATCGGAGTGTATAACATAGAATGTGGTGTCCCACAGGGCTCGGTTTTAGGGACTAAACTTTTTATTTTGTGCATCAATGACATATGTGAAACGTCCACATTATTGCAATTTGTGTTTGCAGATGACACAAACATTTTTTGTTCAAGAGATTATTTGTATATTAGTGTATTGGACATGAAATGGTCAAACTTAAAAGATGGTTTGATGAAAATAAGTTAACCCTAAATTTGAATAAAACTAAGTTTATGGTTTTTGCTAATAGAAAAAAAGATGAAAAAATGTCACTGTCCATTGATGGAGTTTTTATTGAAAGGGTTTCTGAATTTTGATTTTTAGGTGTGACACTGGATGAAAACCTGACGTGGAAATCACAAATAGCACATGTTAAACTAAAGTGTCTAGGAATATTTCTGTTCTAAACAAGTATTTGCTAGATTACAAGGCATTGAGAATGTTGTACTGTTCACACATTTTGCCATTTTTTATTTATTGTATAGAAGTTTGGGGCAACACGTATATGAGTGTTACATGTCTAATATGTGTAATGTGTAATTGTAAAGCACTTTGAGCACCTGGAAAAGTGCTTTAATAAAAATGTAATGCATTATTATTATTATTATTATTATTATTATTATTATTATTATTATTATTAATCACTTCTAATATGCAGGCTTTGTTGCAGTACTAAATATTTGAGAAACAATGCACGGTAGTGATAGTCTTGGAAGCTGCAAAACTTTGACATGATAAAAAAAAGGTTCAAATCATATGTTATGTGAAAAACATTGCTCATTATTATGTTATTGCCTTCAAAGTAAATGTTTGTGTACAGTTTACGCTCTCATTAACCTTATTTTTAGCTGGCGATGATAAATCCACTGCATAATACCTACCCAGCACCAAATGTTAGACATTAAAAAAAAGAATAGCTGGTCACCATGAGCATTTAGCAGCTAAAGACTAGGCTTAGGATCTTTATAAAGGAAACCAAAACAAAGCCATAAAAAAGGTGAAAGTAGTAGATTCCTCCCTGTTGTGGAAAGCAGAGACCATCTGTATAATGATAGTACGTGTCAAATTTATTTTTATACTTGTGGCCATCACTAATAATGACATTGTACTCGTAAATCAAATTAATGTCAAGAGAGACCTGTCAATGTTGTCATCTACTTTAAATGGAATTGATTCTCTCTCCGTATGGATGTCTGTCCTTGAGATCTATGGAAAAAATGTCAAATCTCCACATAACGGAATTCCGGAAGTGTTTTGTCAGTATATTTGAAATGACTAGGTTAGCTACGTTAGCTAGCTAGCTTACAGCATATCTGCAATAAGATTGGAAGGAATCATGCGATCACACATTTTAGATTAGCCAATAAAACGTACATTTTAGGCAAGTTATAATCCCTGAGCGCCAACAAGCGCTCTGGTCCCAGTGCAGCACGTTTGTCATAATGTAAGTGTTTTGGGCCGTTCAAGAGCGATTGCCCGTGTCGGCCAACGTAGCGAAACCACTGGATGGCATGCTAGGTATTGCTTGCTCCCTTTTGCTCACTGCAGTACATTCAAGAACCGGAAAGGAAATATTTATAGCAACATATTTCAACAATCAAATATATTGCTTGTTGAAATATATTGAGGTCATAAATCTATCGATGATAAATCTATCAATTAGATTTATGATTAGAAAATTATAAAAGTAGAGTAGACATGTGGATATTATCCGGCTGAACAAAACGTGATCTGTCTCTTCTCAAGTATGTGAACACGTTTGAGGAATTTGCCATTCCAGGGACATCTTTTAAAATCTATAATGAAACCCAATTTCCCCCGGTATTAAAAAAAGTATTCTGATTGTGAATTAAAGTCTTCAACCATTTGCCTGAACTTGCTGAACTTAAAGGGGACCTATCATGCAAAATGCACTTTTGTACGTCTTGTATACATGAATATGTGTCCCTGGTGTTCCAGGGAACTCACCAAGTGTCAGAAAACACAACCCTCTCTATTTTCCTCCATACCCAAATCTCTAAAAAAGGGGCTGCAACGGATCTGATAAAAACTGATCCAGATTTGAACACTGTCCTGACGTCAGGACGGTGGCGCTACGGCTATTGGGCCAACTCCACCAATCAGGAGGAGACAGCCACGGCCATTGCCGTTCGAAAGCGCTGGAGACGCTGTAGTACATATGCCAGGCCTGTAGGCGGCGCTGTTCTCACAGAATCTGCCCTTGCAAAAACAGAGCAAAAAAATTGCAAATTGAGCAAAATGAGGCATGGCTAAAATGCATGATCTGTTTGGTATTTTGAAAAAAAAAAAGTATAAATATGCCTTATATAGGTATGGTCCTACACTATATTATTCAAATATAGCATGATAGGTCCACTTTAAATCATTTGAAAATGAACATGTCAATGAAGTGCATCAATTCAAAGCCTACATTGTGTTTTTCTCCTCTGAACAGACTCTACCTCCAGAGGCCACATCGGCCTGTGACCCCTGACCCACGGCAGTATGTGAATTTGGTAATATATTTTTTTGTATAACTTTGAAAATGAAACTACACTATTATCTGTATTTAACCCTCCTGTTGTCTTCGGGTCAAATCTGACCGATTTACTACTTTCATCAATCATAACTTTTTTGTTTTAGATTCGATTGCATTAAGGCTTTATGATATCCTTCACAGTAGACATTTGAAAATATAAAATTGCTGATCACCACTTTCACTGCATTTTGGATGATGTAGTCAACTTTGTAACACCCATGGTGTTCCCGGTCGCCATAAAGTAAAGGAATTAGTAACCACAAACACCCACACACGCACGCACGCACGCACGCATATTTACTGCAGTTGTTCATGTATGCCAGTAGTCTGATACAATATTTACAGTTTGAAAGGGTGTTAAATGAAATGTGGTGATGATTAATGGTTTTTGTGTTAATGTAATAGCAGTTAAAACAGGACCGGTCAACTTTTGCAGACCCCCCCATCCCTTCGTAGTCTTTCAAGTGCATCTTGAGTCGTGGCTGTCCCTGTTGCTGTGGTCCTGCCTGACGCTCACCTTACTACTTCTTTGATGGCAGCAGGAGGATGTTGACATCCACCTGGATTGATCTTCATCTTGTACCTTCTCCTATCTTCTACATATGTTGTATATGTATTATCTTTTTCCTTTACAGACGACATCTATTGCGTGTCTGTCCGTCCTGTGAGAGGGATCCCTCCTCTGTGGCTCTCCCCGAGGACTGTCTGTTTCCCCCGTCAACTGTGGGGTTCTGTTGGAAGTTTTTCCTTCTCCGAAATGAAGGTCCAAGGACAGATGGTATCGTATTCGTAATCTTAGTTCTTTCTTCTCTTTCTCTGTACCTGTATACTCTCGTCCCAAATATGTATGCTACTAACCCAGCATCCTTGGAGTCGTTTGTGTCTGTCACTTCGCAGTTGTCAGCATTGAGGTGTTGCCTGCATCCTGAGTCGAGGCTGTCCATGTTGCTGTGGTCCTGCCTGACGCTCACCTTACTACATTACATTGCATTTAGCTGACGCTTTTATCCAAAGCGACTTACAATAAGTGCATTCGACCAAGAAGATACAAACTAGAAGAAAACAGAATCATATAAGTACATCAGGTTTCATAGAGCCAAAACATTTCAAGTGCTACTCAACTAGCTTTAGATAAGCCAGTCCTTTATTAGTATATAAGTGCTTTGTTAGTAATTGTATCGCTCGAAGTGGAGTCGAAAGAGATGAGTTTTTAGTGTGCGCCGGAAGATGTGTAAGCTTTCTGCTGTCCTGATGTCAATGGGGAGCTCATTCCACCATTTTGGAGCCAGGATAGCAAACCAACGTGTTTTTGCTGATGGGAACTTGGGTCCCCCTCGCAGTGTGGGTGCAGCGAGCCGTTTGGCTGATGCAGAGCGGAGTGCACATGCTGGGGTGTACAGTTTAACCATGTCCTGGATGTAGGAAGGGCCAGATCCATTCACAGCATGGTACGCAAGTACCAGTGTCTTGAAGTGGATTCTAGCAGTTACTGGAAGCCAGTGAAGTGAGCGGAGGAGCGGTGTGGTGTGGGAGAATTTAGGAAGGTTGAAGACCAGACGAGCCGCTGCATTCTGGATGAGCTGCAGAGGTCGGATGGCACATGCAGGTAGACCAGCCAGGAGGGAGTTGCAGTAGTCTAGGCGTGAGATGACGAGAGCCTGGACCAGAAGCTGCGTCGCTTTCTGGGTCAGGAGGGGACGTATCCTCCTGATGTAAAGAGTGTATCTGCAGCAGCGGGTTGTGGCAGCGATTTTGCTGTGAAGGACAGGTTGTTATCTAGGGTCACACCCAGATTCCTTGCAGTCTGAGTCGGGGAAACAACAGAGGGGCCGATGTTGATTGTTAGGTCAAGAGTGGGACAATCTTTTCCAGGAAGAAAAAGCAGCTCAGTCTTGTCAAGGTTGAGCTTGAGGTGGTGAGCAGACATCCACAGAGAGATAGCATGCGACGACCTGGGTTTCAGAACAGGGAAAAGACAGAATTAATTGGGTGTCGTCAGCGTAGCAATGGTATGAAAAACCATGCGGGCTAATGACCGATCCGAGCGAGTTTGTGTACAGAGAGAAGAGGAGGGGACCAAGGACAGAGCCCTGAGGGACCCCTGTAGTTAATTAACAAGGGTCGGACTCGGACCCTCTCCAAGTTACCCTGTAGGTGCGGTCTTCGAGGTATGAGGTGAGGAGGGAAAGTGCAGAGCCTGAAACTCCAAGTTCTTGGAGAGTGCGAAGGAGGATCTGATGATTCACCGTGTCGAATGCAGCAGACAGGTCCAAAAGGATGATGACAAAGGAGAGGGAGGCTGCTTTAGCAGTGTGCAGTTCCTCAGAGACAGCATGGAGACCAGTTTCTGTTGAGTGACCTGCCTTGAAACCAGACTGGTGCGGATCCAGAAGTTTGTTCTGATGGAGATAACAGGAGAGTTGTTTAAAGACAGCGCGTTCAAGTGTTTTAGACAGGAACGGGAGGAGAGAGACAGGCCTGTAGTTTATAACATTGGACGGGTTGAGAGTGGGTTTCAAACTTTCTTTAGGAGAGGGTTTACTCTTGCCTCCTTGAGACTGTTTGGAAAGTGACCAGAAGTTAGAGAAGTGTTGATGAAATGGGTGAGAAACGGTAGAATATCAGGAGCAATAGTCTGAAGGAGGTTTGAGGGGATAGGGTCCAGAGGACAGGTGGTAGGACGGGCAGAGGTAATGAGGGTAAGAACCTCACTTGGAGAGAGAGGGGAAAAGGAGGTTAGTGTGTGGGTGAACGGTGAGCCTGGTGAATCCCAGGAACTATCGGAACTATTCCTGGGAAAAGTACTCCGGTGTGAAAGCGCCTAATGCTTCATGGGATGCATCATTAGATCTATAAACTCTATCTAACTCCTAGAACATCTAAATATACTTCCAACATGGATAAATGTTCATAAAAGACATCCATTGTTTGTTTATACACTTCTTGAAAAAAACAAAAAAACATTGTTTTTCTAGAATAGATTACAAATTGCCTGAAAATTGTACAAACAAGCGGCAACATTTATAATGAAGGTGTGGCGCTGGGCTATATCGTGGATTTAAAAGTTAAACTTAAACTTGTTCCCTTGCAGTCTGTTTCCTGGAATCTGCAATCACAGAATCAGTGAATTGCCAAACAAAGTCTAAAGGCATGATGGAGAATGCAATAGAATTCATTCAAACAAACCGGGGAGCGGAAAGCCTGGTTGTTGACCAGCAATACAAGTTCTGCTGCGTATGCATATGTGCAACAGGGTACCAGTGCAAGATTTAAGTGAGTTTCTTTCTTATCATATGGTCTTTGATATTCATGTCCCTTATTTTCCCTCGATTCATTCATCTTTTTCTAAAGTCAAATGACCTGATCATTTTTTTTGTTTTTTGTTTTATTTGTATTCTTTAATAAAGCACCTGTTACAGTACATGTCAAATGTAGCTCATTTGAGAAGTATTTGTAAGAAGGGTGTCTAGAAAGCTAAGACCCACGACCAAGCAAAACAAGTATAATTTCTTATGTGGCCTGATGTAAAAAAAGGGGCGAAATGGGAAAGGGGCGAAATGGGAAGGGGCGAAATGGGTAAGGGGTGAATTGGGAAATGGGCGACAAGGGAAAGGTGCGAAGTGGCGAATTGGGAAGGGGCAAGATGGGAAAGGGGCCAAATGGAGAAGGGGCCAAATGGGAATAATTTAGGGGCGAATAGGGAAGGGGCGAAACGGGAAGACACCGGCTCCTGGACCAGATGGCATCCCTGGCCGTGTTCTCAGGGTGTGTGCAGTTCAGCTGGCAGAGGTGTTTACGGACATCTTCAACAGGTCCCTGCTGAAGTCTGTAATCCCCACATGTTTCAAACACTCCACCATCGTTCCTGTCCCCAAAAATAATAAATCCCTCTGACAGCACTCACTTCCATCATCGTATGCATTTTGCCTTTTATATAGTTAATTTACAGATCAAGCTTATAGATGATGCATTTAAAAGGTCGTGAAAAATAAGACTAAATACACTGCTGCCCTGGTGCCACACCAGGAAAATTAATGCAATCTTACAAAACTGAGTTTTATTTATATAGACGACTGTACTGACTGGTCTAATGAGAGAGAAGAGAAGAGAGAGAAGGCGTGAGTAAATGACTTTGAATTGTGGATAAGGGTGGATAGCTCCCATTTTTCTAATCTGTCAAAATGACAGACAGCCTACAGATTAATACGGTTTTTCTTTTACAAATTGAAGGTCAACTTTTAAATAATTACATGATAAGATCGCAAAGGTTTTGCTCATTCAAAGTTGAACAATACTGGAAAGCATCCCAAAATGTTTGAACTATAATGCATGAAAAGAAAATATGTTGAAGTGTTTCAATATCTGAGTTACAAAAGGAGCATTTATTTAAGTCTTTACTGAATTGGATCGGTGTAGGAAATTATTGCAAGGGTAAATCTCATTCATGATTTTAAATAGATTTCTTTAACATTTTGGTGGAAGGTAACTGGTTCTCATCTCTATTACAGTATAGAATTACTTGAATATTTTTGGAAGATATGTTTTCTTTTTTGTCATTACATTTAATATCTAAAAACTACATCAATGTATAAGTCAAGACGGCTTTTGTGCAGTAAGCACAGAAACATTAGCATGCCTCTAACTGTTAGAGGCATGCTTTATCAACTGTCTCATTTTGCCTGTTCATTCAAAGTAGCCAATAACTACGCCAGCCCTCCAGGGGGCAGCAGCACTCCCAGTGTTGTGCTATGTGGACAGAGAAGAGGAGGAAACCGTAAAGCGTTTGTTTACTTTGCTTTACGTCCACCGATAGTTGACAGCCGGTACAACCGGGCAGGGCCATCGTCTCCGTCAAGACAGCCAGAACTTCCCAGAGGAAAGAATAAGGCGGCTCAGAGCTCACCCGTCCGCCGGGGGTGCTGCATGTGACGCCCGGGAGCTGTGTGTGCCTCGGAGCGCCGACGCTGTCCCGGCCGCAGTGAATGCAGCACCGCATGCTAACGCTACATGTATGTGATACTAAAAACACGGAAGGAACTGTGAAATTCAGCTGAAATGGATCCTAACCGGATCATCCAGGCCCTGAAGGGAACCATCGACCCGAACCTGAGGATAGCGGGGGAGCATGAGCTCAACCAGGTGAGCTGAGAGGCGGGGGGGGGGGCTGCACGGACCGGCTGGGTCAATATATGATGCTTATTGGCAATGGTGTAAACAAGTAACTAAGTACATTTACTCAAGTAACATTTTGAGGGACTTATTATTTTCTTAAGTGTTTCCGTGTCATGCTACTTTGTTCTTTTACTCCACTATATATATTTAATACCTTTTAATTACTTTACAGATTTTGATTAATGATGTGAAATCTAATCAAGTGTTAAATCAGACTTTAGTTCCACCTGGAGTAAATTCACAAGCTACCCTGCAAAGTCATTCAAACTAGCTGAAAATTCACCAGCTTTGAGAACACTTTAATGATCAATCATTATAAAACATATTATATATATTATTCTGACATGGACCAATCTGCACAATGACTACATTTACTTTTACATTTAAGTAAATTAAATACATATGTAAAATAGAATAAGATGAGCTAAAAACACTCAATAGTCAGAAAGTGAGTATGTTTACATGCGAGCTATCTACTGTTCTGAAACTGATCCTGATTTTGATAACATTTTGCATAATGTGTATTGAAAAGGAAAAACCTAGGTAATTGTTCCGCTGTGTACATGAAGACATTACCAGGTATTTGAGGGTGTGCATGCAGTTGGGTCATTGACTCTACAAACTCAGCCACTCTGATACTTCTCATGAAATGAGTTACCTCAACAAGCTGAACACAGTTTGGTTCCTGCCTGTTGGGACTTTGCTGGGTTCCCCTCTCTGCTGGATTTAATTCTCCATCTGATTATCCTAATGGAAGACATAGATGTCAATTCAAATTTAAGCTTCAAGCAGCAATAATCAGGCCTTCGCAAATCCATGCACTTCCAGGTACATCCAGGATCCCTGTGGACGCAGCAGTGAACTGCCATAACCACTGGAGACTGGCTGCAAGTATGAACATCACGTATAGAGTGGTGCAGGAACGAGTCCTAAAACCCGGAAGTGAGTTAGCATTTTACCACTTCTGGTTCCCTCGTCTCAGTCAATGGGATTTCTCCATAGGACTTTGGAAAATAGCTCGAAATAAGTTCTGTGGTTGACACAAATGTAAGAAACTGATCACGTTTTTTTTCTACGACATTAAATACATCAGCACAGCAGTGATTTTTGAAGAGTTATGTGTCTGAAAAACGATGGTTGTTAACAATTGGCTGAATAGGACTTCAGAAGTTGTCGAGGATGTTGTACGTCATTACGCCGAACAAGTAAACACTCCTCTAAGTTTGTTTGCCCCTGTTCTGCTTGAAAGCAACTACCTGCGCTCTTGCAAACTGTTAAAACAAACGCTTTAACTTGTACAATTTTGAATCTGTATTTTTGAATATCGATCTTAAAGGTCCCATGTCATGCTTTTCTGGTTATTACCCGTCCCCTTGTGTGTTATGAAGGTTTTTCTGCATGTAAACAGTCTGCAGAGTCACAAACCCTCAAAGTACACCCTGTAGCGAGTACAACTCTAACACAGAAAAGACCTGTCTATGCTGCCCCAGAACGCCTCGTTGGACATTTCTCTTTTTCTTCCTGGTTTCAGGAGCTCCAACAAGCCGTTTAGGACAGAGAGTGAATACACATACTATACAGAGATGCTGTATGAGAAACCAATGTGAGTTTGGAACATTGCACAATATAAATCTATTCTAGTATACCTCAACAATGGAATTATGATCAGTAGAAATGGCCATGACATGGGACCTTTAAGTTGGCGTGACGTTGAAGTCGTGCGACCCTGCTGTACTCGGCTGTAGTTCGTTTATAGCATAACGTTAGCATTTTGCTTATGGCGATTAGATTTATGATTCGCAAATTATAAAAGTAGGGTAGACATGTGAAGATTATCCGGCTGAACAAAACGTGCATTTATCAAACAGGTTCGTTTTCCACAGACCTTATTTTATTTTTTCAAAATCTTTTTATTTGTTTTTTTGCAGACATGGCACTTTCAGCAAGTTAAACAAAGTACAAGACAATTTGTCTGTTAAAGGAAAGAAAAATACCCAAAGACATGGGAGAACAATAAAGGATACACAGAGTATTGGTCAATATGAACAGGGCCGCCCCTCCCTACACGCAGATCACGCAGACTGCGTGGGTCCTCATCTTGCGGAGGGAGCCTCATCCTATGCGCAAATGCGGCGCAATGAAGCGTGCCACAGTTTTGCGGACGAAGTAGAGGTGCTGCTGGGCTTTCTTGGTGATTGACGTGGTGTTGTTACTCCAGGAGAGGTCCTCGGTGATGTGCACCCCCAATCATTTGATACAGCTCACCTTCTCCACAGCAGCACCACCGATGGTCAATGGGTGGGGGTGTTGGGCGTAGGTTCTCCTGAAGTCGAGAACAATCTCCTTTGTTTTCTCCACATTGAGAAAGAGATTGTTATCTTTGCACCACGTTGCCAGCTGGTTCACCTCCCTCCTGTAGTGGGTTTCGTCGTTGTTGCTGATGAGACCCACCACAGTTGTGCCATCCGCAAACTTGATGAAGTGGGTGGGTGTGCAGTTGTGGGTCAGCAGGGTGAAGAGCAGGGGGCTGAGCACACACCATTGGGGGGTCCCCCGTACTGAGTGTGATGGTGCCTGATGTGTTGTTGCCGACTCGTACAGATTGGGGTCTGGCAGTGAGGAAGTCCAGCAGCCAAATTGCAGAGAAAGGGGCTGAAGCCCAGGTTTGTTAGTTTGCAAACCAGCTGCTGGGGGATGATGGTGTTGAACGCTGAGCTAAAGTCTATGAACAGCATCCTAACATAAGAGTTTTTAGTGTCCAGGTGAGGGCTGGGTGGAGAGCAGAAGAGATTTCATCCTCAGTGGACCGCTTCACTCACGATGAAAACTGAAACGGGTCCAGCGAGGGGGGGAGATCAGATTTGATTTGCTTCATGACTAGCCGCTCAAAGCACTTCATGATGGTGGAAGTCAGCGCTACGGGGTAGGGATGCCAGAAACTGACCATGACCAAAATCGAAGATCGGACAGCCCTGGCGAATATTAATCGATTAATCGCCCCCCCCCCATCCCCCCCCCGGAGGAGGAAAAAAAAACACTGACAAATGGTATTCCGTTGTTTTCTTTTACTGGAACGTGTACATGGTACAAAAGGGCTCTTCAGGTAGAACAGTATTAATAATAGCATCATTGAAATAAATAGCCTACTTTATGTGTGTGCGTGCATCGCGCATCTTCAACTAAAGGCTATGGCAGGCACTTTAGAACAATAGGCCGTACAATTTCACCTTCATAGCCTAGTAAACAATCACGAATAAAATAATACTGCAGTAATCAGTTAACAAAAACAATAGCATCACTTGCTTATGCATCAAAATAATAAATCAAAATGGCATTATAGTCTATAAATAACAGTAGGCCTATTGTATTGAACATTCTAACAAACAGTAGCGAGTGAGTCTTTTAGGCTATAGATTGAAAATTAGGCTCCAAATACAAATTAAATCAGCTTCACTTGCAACAACAAAACGTCTTACTATTTAGTTCTTGTTCAAAAAGATGAGCTGGTCGACGTGGTCAGGGTGTAGGCGAGAGCGCAGCCGGTTAAGGATTAGTCCTGCCGCCGAAAAAACCCTTTCCGAGGGCACAGACGTGGCTGGCACACACAAATATGACCTCGCAAGTTGTGCCAACCTTTCGTACTTCGTCTCATTTACTCTCCACCAATCGAGGGGATCCAAATGGGGAGCGATGCACTTTTCATCACAGTAGTGGCTTAATTCCATTTCAGGCGTTACAGGTGTCTCCGCGTGGTATTCTTCGCCAAACAATGTTAGCATTGCAGACTTGTTGTCGTATCGTGGTCTCTTGGCCGCTGCAGACCCCCCCGCTGCAGACCCCCCCGCTGATTCAGACTCAGAGGAGTCCTCCTCGGTGATCTCTGGTTTGGCGTCTGCTCCCACAGCTAAGGCTGAAAGCAGCTCCTTGACTCTGGCCTTGACAGCATCCCTGAGCGCATCGTTAGCAAACTTTAGATGTTTATGCCGCGGGTCAAGAAACGATGCGATGAACGGAACTTTCTTGGCACTCTCCACTTCGTCGGGTTTCAGTCGCCGTTTCAGTGACACAGACACGGTTTGCTTGTACTCCGCAACCTTTTTAGACTCTTCTGGAGCAACAGGCAGGTGTTTGGTCAGCAAAGTTGCTGTGACAGGATAAATCATAGAGCTGGAAACCCCTGACTCTCCACACAGGGCAGTAGTAGCGCATTTCAGGGAGCGCAACACTGGCAGCATCTCTTCCATCACGATCCAGCTGTCATCGGCCAGGTCAAGGGTCCTAGCGTCTGACAGAGTTGTGACACTTCGGTCCGAAAGAACCGCAGCAACAGCCCAGCGCTGCTCCAGCAGGCGATCAAACATGTCGTAGATGGAATTCCACCTCGTACGACAGTACTGTATCAGGCGGTGATCTGGCAGTGTTTGATCAACCTGTTTCTGACAAAGCGCCTGTGTTGCTACTGTGCTGTGGTGGAAATGTGACACAAGTCGACTGGCACCGGCGACAATATGATGTATGGGCTTCAGCTTGAATCCATCATTTATTGCAAGTTGGAGTGTATGGGCATAACATGGACTTGAATCCCAATCCAAGTACTCATTGTTGGCGAGAGTAACATTGCTCGCGTTGTCATGCACACACGCAGTCACTTTCTCCAGTATCCCCCAGGACTCGGTAGCACTGCGGAGCCCCTCAGCTAAATTCTCTGCCGTGTGCCGTTCGGGCGTTGCACGGGTCTGTAGAACCGCACTCTTCATCTCCCATTCACTATCGATATAATGGCAGGTTATGGTAACATAAGATTCAGTTGTGAGTGCCGTCCACCCGTCGGTGGTTATCGACACCTTTGAGACAGTTGATAAGCTTCTGCGCAGATCTTCTGCCTTATCTTTGTACAGCTTTTCAATTCGTTTGGTCATTGTAGTACGGCCCGGGACCCTGTAATCTGGTTCCACGCTTGCCATAAG